GTGTGAGGGAAGTCGTTTGGCGCTTGGGTTTTTTGAAACTTTCAGGTGCGGTTTGGGCTTGGTCATTGTGCCGTCGCTGCTGAAAGGAATGCAGGTGGCTTAATAAAAATGCAGGTGTTGGCAGTGCTGGTGGAGATGTGGATTGAATGTCTTTCTCTAGCTAACATGGTATTGAACACCCTTCGACAGCTGACGTTGTATTCTACACCTTTCTACAGCTATAACATGGTGCAAAGCTTGTGTGGGAATCACTGGAGAAACACCACATGGTCCTCATCTTGTACATGAGATAACTTGCCTGTATATTTGAAGTGCAGCTGTTAAAGTGGAGGGGAAAAAAATCCTTAAGTAACTCGCAGGTAGTAGTGTTATGAAGGTGGCAGGGGTGGTCTGAAAACTTCTGGTTCGTGTAGATGTCTTCACTCTTTAAGCTGTCAATTTCATGCCAGTTATTTGAAGCCAATCCAAAGAAGTGTTGAGTATTGGAAGGCTCACTTGAACTTAACAGTGGAACAGGTATATTGCACTATGGGTTTGGAGTAACTCTGCATGGCTGTGTTCATAATTTTCTATAGTACTGATTTCCTTCCATCTTCAAGGTGCTGTTCTACAGATCACTCTGTTTTCGCTGCTGCTGTTATATTCTTCTTACATTTACTAATGGTTCCATCCTTTTTTGTTGTTTCTATGTGAGTGCTTTTAAATCCTAACTGAAAGAAAAGGTTGTAAATACAACTGGTTTTTGATAAAGTTAGGTGTCTTTGAACCCAATTACCATGATAAAAATGTCTAAAGTAGTGGTTTTAACATGGTTATTTTGTCAGAAGATTATTGCTCTTTGTGCAATGAGTTCAAATCTTTTTCTGTCTTGTATCAGGTTTTTAGTTCATCACTTTTTTAGTAACTAATGGTGTTCAAGGACTTGGGTTTCTGCAGGTTGTTGGACATCTGTGTCTGCCTAATGAACTTTTGTGGCTACCCTTAGTGTTGTATGGGCTGTTGCCTTTTAAAGCAAGGTCTTGATATAGTCTAACGATTAAAATGTTTTAAACAACTTGTTCACAGTTTCAGCACTTTAGCCTGCAATGATGATTTAAGCATTCTCTTTGTACATGGGGCATTTTGTTGGAGTTTTGGACCTCTCCATTCCAGGGACTTCCTTTGTGGGAGTGTGTGTATGAACATATCTGTTTGTACGTATTAACAAATGAGGAAAATATAGTCTCTTGTCAGTAGGTTCACTTTTCTTGTACTGATGTCTGTACCTCCACTGGGAAGTATTTGAGTAGAGTGGGGGAAGGATTCACTGCTGGTTTTGTCTTTGAAAGCAATCACTAAGCATTCCTAGAGTGCATTTTCTATGTTAATATACTTAAAGAAGCTAAAAATTTGGAAGCTGCTTGTACTCTAAAAATGGATGTCACTATTTCCTTTGGCAGTGCACACCATTTGCAGGAGCTGTTCCTGCACACCTCCTCTAATCAAATCCATTTCCTCTTACTGCAGTTTTGATTGTTCAGGCCACAGATTTTTGACCTCTCAGTTGTGCTGATAGAACTGTTAGTGGGACAGGTTATTTTTAACCTGCCCTGGTTCACGTCAGAGTCCTGTGCAAAGTTGTGGTAGCACAACTGAGGAGAAGCAGTGCAGGAGCAGGGCAGGAACTCATTATGTTGGCTTTCTTCCCAGGAAAAATAAGTCAGTGAAAGCTTGGCTTCAAATTATAACACTGAAGTTAAAAAATTAGATTAAAAGATGGGAAATTAATCTCTATTCTTGCCTTTTAAAGCCACCCTGCATTTTTAGTCACCTTTGAGAATACCTTAACGTGTACATCCTGATTCATAAAATGAAATGTCCACAAGAGGTGTCACCAGTTGGTGTAACTTTCTAAAAGCTCATGGCTGTCTTAGCAAATTGCTCTTAACTGTATTTGAGAAAAAAATCAGCTGCATTATAGTGTAGCTGAGGTTATCACTTATATCTTGTTAGGTTTCTGCTAACACACAGATTGTGCCTATTTTGTGTTTTTAATGAAAATCACATTGCATTCTCTGAGCACATTTTATAATTTATTACTTTCCCCCCCTGAGGTCAAGTAAAACTAAATTTTTTAAATAAAAGCACAGCTCATTTATGTTACCAGTTCCATAAAAGAAGTCTCTGAAATAGTCCTTCATTTTGCCTTGAAGTCTAATAAACTTTGCCTCTGTGTTATTATAAAAAGATGTTCTGAAGTGTGTACTTGTACAGAGACTAAAAAATTAGGTAGACTTGGTTATCTTTCTAAGACCTGACATGTGGCCTGTGTTGTCTCTGTCAAGTGGAAATTCACTTAGTAATCTTGCTTTTTTTTCTGGTACAAGAATCTAGTTTAGTATCTTATTTTCTTCTTTCTTAGCACCATGTTTAACTTCAGCACTCCAAGTTGAAGGAGGAAGGAGAGGGGGAGTATAGCTTCACTATGTTTTATCCCAAAACTGAGTGTGTTCTAACCCCAACAGCCTCATTCTCATGGGGGTAGATTGTGATTCCATCTGCTCCCTGTGATAAGCTATTACAGACTAATTACTCCTACAGTCCAACACCAAATCTAGCAGCTCATTACTCCTGTCCTGAAATTGTCTTAGATACTGGACACTTTTCTCCCTATGTCTGTGCTGAAGGCTTCCATTTCAGCCTGGTGATGAATAATGGAGGGGTGTCCTTAGTTTTGCATAAGTTTAAAAAAAGATTAAATGTTTACTACATATATTGCTGTTGAAATATTTTTGGAAAGGAGAAAATAATGGAAAATTGTACAGAAAAATGTTTTGAATAAATGCCTTGTTCATCTTACAAGATAAATAGTCTGAGAAATAAGAGCTTATGATTACGAATGTAATCTTGATTTTGTCACCTTGTGTAAAAGATTTGATAGTTTTTAGTGACATAGTTATATATGTGAGTGGTAGTCTGAGGCATATTGGGTTTAGGGAATTAAAGGGTCAGAGAACTATCACTGCATAATAACAGGAAGTCAGTCTTCCTTAACTGCTTTGCTTTGTCAGGTAAGCTTTGCATCAGCACAGGAATGAGGGAAGTATTTGGAATGGCTTTTGGTGGGAGTAGCTTGGTAGTAAGACATATATGTATAACATAAACTTACGTTGATTATGGCCTTTATAAAAGAAACTGTTGCTCAGATATTCTTCAGGTTTTGAATTTTATATGCTTAACTGCTCATTAATTGCAAGGAATTCCTATATCGACTGGAGTTAGTCTTGGGTTCCTCATGCAAGACTGTCTTGTTTCCTCTCTGATTTACAAAAAGCTGGAGACGTTAAGTGTTGTGAAGCTCCATGTCTTAGGAAAGCAAACACTGTTGTGTTTGGATCCTGATCCTGTTGTTGCTGAGTCAGCCCTGTGGTTTTATGAAATTACTGATCATATTAGAAATAAGGTTATGGGTAATGTGTGCAAAGAAATAGAAAACTTTCATATTTGTGTTGTTCAGAAGTACTTTAAAGATTATGTGAATGTGAAAAGAATAAAATGTTATTTACAATCTGTTTATTTAAAAGCCAGATAAAACCAGTAGTGGTAAGAGATGCCAATGTTAAGTTGGTTAATTCCAAAAGCTACATATTTTTCAGTTTTGTTTTTTTTTTACTGCGAGAGCAAGTCTACAAGCACGAGGAACTCAGTCTAGTGAGATCTATGCAAAGCCATTATCAAGTCCTAATTGATAATGAAAACATGTTGTGGGTATTGCTTGGGGCTTTTGCTGTTGTAGAGTTTATTTGTTTGCAGTATTTTTTGTGGGTAGCTTGTTTGTTGGTCTTTTTATGTGGGTTTGGGGAAGTTTGTTTTAAGTTTTGTTGGGTTTTAAAGAAACTGGGGCTATATGGGAAGCCCTGGCAAAATCTTCCAGAATTTGAGAGGCTGTGGTGGTTGTGGGTTTGGGTGGGGTTTGGTTCTGTTTGTGTTGGGTTTTTTAAGATGTGAAGAGAATAAAGCTGTAATTAGTGTTTCAGTAACTCAGCTGTGCCAGGTAAATTGCATACTTGGTGGTAATCTTCACATTTCTTGTGAAGCACTTCAAAGATGCCTTTCACTGTGGTGTCAGAGGATTCCTCAGATAGCTATTGGTGTGTTGTATAAGTATAGTTTAAATTCTGTGAGGATATCTTTGGTCTTTTTAATAGCAAAGATGAGAATTCAAGTAATTATCAGAAAGGTGATGTGTCATCAGTCTCTGAGTGTCTCCTGTATCAGGTCAGCTTCCACCTGTACAGAGCATGGAGGGGGAGCGATACCATTCTGTGGGAGTTATTGACAAATGCAGTGTGCTTTGCTGAGCAGTGATACAGTTATGAAAATACTGAATGTTTTTGGTTTGTGTTTTTTTTACTGTCTAGTATCAAGATGGCAGAATTATTTATGGAATGCGAAGAAGAAGAGCTAGAGCCATGGCAAAAGAGAGTGAAAGAAGTGGAGGAGGATGACGACGACGACGATGAGCCAATCTTTGTCGGGGAAATCTCCAGCTCAAAGTCAGCTAGTACATGTAAGATAAAACTTTTCTGTAATTTAAAACAGATATTTCAAGATAGAGAAATTTAACCTTAGTTTGGAAATACAGAATTTTTAATGGTAAGACTTAAGAAATTGTACGTAGACTTAAGAAATTCTACATCTTAAAGCTGTGCATGTCTGTCCTACTGAAAATCGGAGTTCTTAAGAAGTTCTGTCAAAACCCCAGGGTGTGCACAGCTCTGTTGACTTCTAACCTTAAGTCTCTGGAGTCAAAAGAAAGACATTTGAAGGTTTTAGCATTAGCAACATAGTTTAAAAGCCAATATGTACAGTGCTGAAACCATGCATGCAATTGCTTTCAGTATAGTTGATATTTAGTTATGTACTTGGAAGTGTCTCCCTACTAAAAGAATGTGCATGAAGTTAAGTCCTTGTGCTACAGTCCCCCTTTTTTTCTCCACCCCACATTTCCTGTGTTGGTGGACATCATTCTGACAAAACCAAAGTATATCTGTTCAGTCTCTATACTAAAAGGACAGTCTAGAAAAGGGGTTAATACAAAAATAGTAGAAGACTGACCGTGAAGCAGGAGGTTTTTATTGGTAAATTTGTTGATCCTCTGTAAAATAGATTGTTGTCATTAAGTTCTGTAGTTTTCTCCTGATGCAGGCAGTGCAGAGAGTTAGGTTAGGTGGTTGTGATGACAGCAGATGTGTCAGGTTTCCATGTTTGTCCTGTGCTTGGGCTTCAGCAGGTAAGTAAAGCAGAACATTATTTTTGTTACTTAATTTTAGTAATGAAGCTTTTGGATTTCTCTGTGCATCCATCTTGTGGTCAATTCTTAAGAGATTTGACCTAAGGTTTCTATAGCAATTGAATACTCAAGACTTTACCTGGTGAGGTTTACTGCTCAGTTTCTGCCTCATCTCTGCTATGCTTGTACCTGAGATTTCCATAGCAGTTCTCTGAAGGTGTGTAGTTTGCAGAGAAGAATCTCAAGACAAAATGTTAAACTAGGCTCTGTCACATTCTGCTGCGTGGCCCTTGGAGCTATTATTACCTGTTCAGTCATTATAGTTCACAGTGCTTTCATCTGGCACCTATTTTACTTTGTTGCTCACTGGGATAGCAAGTTTAAGCTTCTCACGCTAGGTTAAAGTGGCAAATTATGTTTTAACTATTACAAGAAATACTGAAGCTGATATTAAAGCTCTCTCACCTGAAAATAGTTTATAAGGGTGAATATTTAAAAAATACTCTGGATGCTCTTAAAAATTTGAAGAATATTTTTAAATTACTCTAAGAAGTTTTCTGCAGTTCCAAACTTCTAGAAAGGCTGAAAAAAAAAAAACCTCTACTGTTTTCTGGAAGGCCCAGAGACCTGTGGATTGCTGTTGGTCATTGGCAGTAGGTCATGCCATGGAACAACTATTATGCACTAGGTATATATTGTAATGTCAGATATGCCAAGTGTCATTGCAGTAGTTGTAGTCTCAAGTTTTTTTTGTAGTCAAACAATAGAAATAGTTCAGGTGAGAACTATAATTTTGGTATGATTCTGAATTTGAAGAACATTGCTGAAAGCTAGAGACTTGAAGTATATTAAAGCATCTTATTCTAGTGCTGTCCATACTCAATCCTGACGCAAGTGAAATCACTTATGGTATAACTTTTTACTTTCTCTTTTCCTTCCCTCTCCTCAACTTTTCTCTTTGTAACCTTCTACTTCACTATCAAAAACAGCTATGGAAGAATGACCTCAGTTCTTCTCTGGTTTGTAAGTAGTACTGCCTGGCAGTAGTCGGGCTTCAGTTTGTTATTGGTGATAGGCAACACACCATGAACTCAACTTTGCTTATCACTGTTTGGTTTAACCTGAGAAGATTCCTTTCTGATCAGATGAAAAATGGGTGACAAATGGAAACTCACAAGTAGTTCTTAATTTTTCTGGAAGATGTAGTTTCTGCAATACATTGCATTTTCTTAAGCTTTTCCTGGCAATGCAGTTACCAGTTTTTGTACAGACTGGTGTGGAAAACTTGAAGGAAGTAGTTAAAACCCCAACTTTGACCTGCTGGCACAGTGTCATGTAGAATCATGGCCTCTTTTGATGTACTGGAGGATTAATTTGACTGAGATGAAAAGTAATTCACACTTTGTTCCCTTTACCATTTTCTGCAACTGCTTGTTTTCCTACAGTTACCTCTCATTCTTTCTTCCTTTCTCATAATGATGCAGACCTGTAATTTGTCACTGCTCTGGTATGTTATTCTGCATGTTAGCTTTCTTATGCTTCAGTGCTGCTTCACCGAAACAAGACAGATGACACTTTGATGGAAGAGGGCAAAGGGCACAGCAAGTCTTTGATGAATCAGTGGAGTGATGTACATGTACTTTATAATTTCAAATCACTGACTTCCTCACATGTTCTTTTTAAAAGCGATAAAATCTGCCTTGGTGTTTTAGGATGTCACCTGTGTGCTCTTAAGGCTGTCTGAAACTGACTGTGCTTTGTGGACATAACTTTTAGGATAGCTTTTCTTTTGTAGCTAGATGATGTTTTAGTTTTGTTTAATTCTGGAACTCAAATGTGAGGTATAGGTTTATTAACAATAACAAAATGGATGTGTTCAGTTAAATCCCAAATTAATTTAATCCTTGGTCATAGTTACTCTTGTGTTGAAGTGAAAAATAGCATTGCTATTACAGGCTGAAATTTGGTCATCTTAAAAAATGCAGACCTGTTTCAATCTGTTGGTTGCAGCTGCTTTTTTATTAGTATGCTTGAAATGCAGGTGGCAGGTTGAAAGCTGTGATCTTTTGAGCTCTACTGCTATTAGATTTATTTACCAGCTTGAGTAGTGTATGCTCATTGCTGGTGGAAACAGCCTTCAGGTTGTTAAACACAATGTGTAGATACTCTAAGATCTGTTGTTTGAGAACCTGATGTAATTTGACCCTGGTTTGAGAAGTTACTTCAAACCTTGTTGGTTGGATATTGGAGAATCAATCTAATTCCATATGCATATTTTCACAGGTCAGAACAAGAAACCTGACAGCAACACTAATGGAATTGAGAATCTGGGAATAGATTTTGATTTGATGATTATTCTTGTAACTTTCTGGAATAATAAGAAATGCAGACTGAGACATTAAAGCTAGGGAATATCAGAGGCAGTAGTTAGGGAGCAAATACCACATGTAAGAAATTCCATGTATTTTTGATGAGCCAGAATTCGGGATATAGACAGACTGTCATGTAGGACACGTAGGAAAACTAGTTCTCTTGTAATGCAATTCCAGCACAACTCCTTTGGTTGCTGGTCTGTTGGTTTTCCTTTCACATTGGAAAATGGAGGTCATGAAGTCTAAAACTAAGTTTGTAAGTGCTTTATTTTCCTGTTAATACAGAAGCAAATTGTGTCATTACTCAGAGAAATTGTGTCGTTATTTAGAGAAAATGCTTTCTCTAGTGTAGAGCAGTTCTAGTATTTGGGAAACTTATTATGTGTATGAGAAATAGAAGTAAATAAATGCACTGTAATCAGCAAAGTTAAATGTTTGTGAATTTTTTGTTGTTGTTGCTTGCACTCTTATTTGTGTGTTAATCCATTTCCGAGAAAATAAAATCTGGGATTCTTTAGTGCATTAGTTAACTGAAGGAGTGGAAGAATGTTATCTGTAATTTGAATAAACAATATTTTGTTCTGCCAGGTATTTGTTTTAGAAATAGTATTCTCATTTATAAGTCAAGTCCTAATTGGCTTAATTAGTGAATGTGAATGCTAGTTTTAATTTGAAAAGCAATGAAGGTATTAATTTATTTGCAATTAAGATAAATGTAACTTTTGACAGATATATTGAACAGAGTCAACCTCAGCTCATCACGAAGGGGGATACAGAATGGTGCACCCAGTAGAGGTACATTATTGTCCTAATATGGTAATTAAAAATAAAAAAATCCAGAACACTTATGAAACATTTGACAGCAAAATTATGTAAAGGTAACTTTGGAATCCTTTGCAACAGGTACAGTTACTACGTTCAAGCCCGAGAGTCACCATTACGCGACACCTGCCTCCAGCCCCAGTGCCATGCCTGTTCCTTCAGTCTTTCACACTGTGCCCAGACCTACGACTAGCTCTGTGGCAGTTGAGCCATTGTCTATCCCAGTGAATGTTTCAGGAACTTCACAAACACTGCAGAGACCAGTTGCTGGATGTTTATCGGCACAGGAGATGCATGGGTCGAGTTCTGGAATAACACAGCCTGTTAGCAGACCTGTAACCATTCCAGTGACGACACAGCCAGTATCAAGAAATATCACAGTTCCTGTAGTGGCTCAACCTGTATCCAGGCCAGAGACTACTGTGACAGTACAGCCTGTACTACTCGATCAGGTAAATCTTTATTCATTTTAACTGTAAAAGGTGTGGTTACTTTTGAATAAATTAATGAAGAACATACTGAATCAGTTGAGTGATTTGAAGACCTGGTCTAGATTGTAGACTAGCATTATGTAAAGTAAAGATTCTAGGACCATAACCTTGCACTGGTAAATTAAAATACCTGTTTGGAAATACTGATTTGCAAGACTGAAATGTGATAGCTTTAGTAACAGTAAAATGGCACTAAATGAAAATCCTAGACATTAGAGAAACTGGTATTGTTTAGGTCTTTTGTTGTCTGGAGAAATGATGGCACTTAATTCTCCGAACTTTGCAAATATCTCTGCTCAGAGATGGATCCTCTGTACTGCTAAATTTATTTCTTTTTTAAATAGCTTGCATTTGGTGTGTAAAGTAACTTTGTGGGTTTTCCACCTGGTTTTTCCAGTTGGGAGTTTTGCATCTTAAGAGAAAGCTGTATGGTGGCAGCTCCTTAAAAGGGGGTTCCCTTTTCATTCATGTGGCAGTTGTAGTGAAACACTAGTCTGTTAAGGAGGGTTTAAACAACCAAAAGTTCAGGATCAGTAGATGAAACAATTTGGCAACACATTTGTTTTGTTTGAAAAGCCCAAGGGAACTGTGAATGTAGATGATGTATCATAGATTTTCCTGGGCTGCTGCAGAATCTCCGAATGCTAACTCGAGAGAGTCAAGTTAGATGCTGATTTTTGCCTTTTTATCCATTGGGCATATATGAGAGATAAAGAATTAAGATGAAAATTCCATATTTGTATGATGTATACTATGATGTGATACCTTTATTGAAATAGTTTATGCTGAAACTACTGAGACAGTTTAATAATAAACAGACTGTTTAGTGTTAGCTATTAATGTCAGGTTAAAGTGGAGCCTGACAGTAGGCACCATCTCCACTGTCCATGCAAGTATACATACCTGCAGTTGTCCCAGCTGTCAGTCTTTTGGTGTGAATAAAAATCCTGCAGCCTAATGGATTCTGATGTGCTGAATGAACATAGTTAATTAGGCCATTAAAGCATGAGAATTGGGTGTTCTTGACTCGTGGCTAAATCATTGCTGGTGGGAGGCTGTATTTTAAGAAAACTGAAATAAAACCAGTGCATTGTAATGGTTGCCTGTCAACTGGCAAATTCATTAGGAAAAACTCTGCCATTTTGAGTCTTCAGCAGCTGATTGATAGTTTTCAGAGAGAAAGTGTGGACATGTCTGGTGAAGGGGGTTAGCTTAATCAGTCTGTCACTGAATCTAAGAAGGCCTAAAAGGAATAGAATCAAAAGTTCAAATATCAGTAGGATATCTAGTTTGCTTATGCAGTCGTCTGAAATCTGTAGAGCAGTTTTTATAGTGTTACTTTGTCAAAATCTGCAGGTTGTTGTTCTTCCATGGCCGAGTAGAGAGACACTTCTTCAAATAAATTGAAGACTGAAATATGGCATGGAAAAGGTTCTCTAATCATGGGTTGAAATTATTATATTATATAGTTTTTTTACAGTGTTGGTATTTTGATCATGGCTTTCATGAGCTCTTAATTATTTTAAGTTATCCAAAATGTAACATGCTATTCTTCAGATGGTAAGAAATTGAGTAGCTTTAAGAGCTTCGTTTTGGTTTTTTTTCCCCTTGCTTAAGATGTGCTGAAAGTGAATCTTCCATCACTTCAGCTTAGCTTTTCTAGATTCAGAACTGTGTTTCCAGTTTCAGTTTTATCTAAAAGAATTGGTGATCTTGGTTTTATATTGTTCTTGCCACTTGATTAATGTCACGTTTCTTGTGCAAAAAGAAGCTTATTTACCTTTTTTAGGGAGGTAGTTTAGCTTTGTGGGCAAAGTTCTGTGATTTTTAATCACTTCTGCCACATGATGTCATTTGCTGTTCTTAGGGTCATATGTGTACTGCCTGTATTTTGGTTCATGTTCTTGATTCAAATTGTTTTCATTCAAGAACTCCTTTAGGGTATTTTTTGATCCCTCACCCCCTCCCCATCTAGTGTTTATTTCACTTGGGGTCACTGTTTTCTACGGATGATTTTTTGCCTTAGACTTTGTGCAACATTTTCGTTCGCGTCTGTTCCGTCTCTTCCCAACTTGATTCTTCCTAAGTGGGAAGAGCTTCAAGTAAGTTTTCCTGGGAAATGTTTGACATTTGGATCTGCAGCTTCCAGGTGTTGAAACTTAACTTTGAAATGAAAATATCATATTGTGAAGATGACTGAGGTCTGACTAGGCACTGTGGCAGGACTCTTTTTTTTTGCTGAACACCCTTCAGAGTGCCTTTGCATTCTTAATATGGTGCAATGTTTTTTAATCTCGGGATGTCAGACTTTTTTTTCTGTGGGAACTGGTTGCTTCTGATCACCAACTGGGTTGAAACACGCTTTTCCTCAATTTCTTAGCAAGTAGGTTGATAATTTGCCTTATGTCCATGTTTTGTATTCCAGTTTTATCATTGAAATGGCTCTTTCCAGTTGCCAACTTGATTCGCTGACTTCCTGTAATTCTGTTTTCTGTGTTGTTACTGTTTCAGAAATTCTAAGTTGATTTTTACTTCAGTCATACAGTTTACAGCAATTCAGTCAGAGCTGGTGTTATGCGTGATAGCATAGGACTGTTACCTTCTTTAAGAAAAATTTGACTTTAGCAGTGAAGATTTTCTCTAATTCAGGGCTCAGAATGCTCTCCAGACTTTGAATTTTCAGAGTGTCGCTGTTTATTTTTTTTGCTCTTGAGATATGTTTGATATATACTGGGGAGATGTACATGTGCCATCAGCAGACCCAAACTATGGGTCTGTTAGCAGCATGTGAAAACAAGCAAACCACAGACCAGTAAGCGATGCAGAGTGTGTATGGAGCTGTTGTACTGGTTGCATTTCAGATGTAGATGGTGTGCACAGGCCTCCATGCTGAGAGCCTAACCTGGCTTTACTGCCTGAGCACGAGCTGTGCTTGAGGTGAGACCTGCAGGCTAAGCTGCTTTGCTTGTCATTTCACTGGCTAGTCTGAAACCACTGTGGCTACAGAAACGTCTGTTCTCATGCAACTGTTACTCATAGCAAATACAGCTCAGAAATTTAGTACCCATTTCCACAATTACTCTTGAATGTCTGTTTCAATTGGTTAGATTGGATTAGGTCACTCACAGGAGGAAGAATGGCTCTTTATTGTTTTTAGGGCTCTGCATGGACAAGGAGGCAGGATGGGGAGCAGAGTCTTCCTCTTTGTTCAAATCTTTTCTGGTATTTAGGAGTCCTAAACCAGATTATGATACCTGTATGTGTATTTGTGCATGTCTTCAGATTTCTTTCCATTAAGTCTGGTTAGCATGGTGGTAATTAAAAATGTGATAACTTCCACAAGGATGTTTCCAAATGAGTCGCACAGCTGTGAATGGGAAGCAGTTTGTGAAATTGATCTTTACAGCCAAAGGTATTTTGGCCTTTGTCTCATGGATACACTGATGACAGAGCCTGTGTATGTGTATTGAGTGGGTTTTTTTCATTTATTTTTTTGGGACATTAGACCTACTTCTGTCAAATCTTCTGTTTCACAGTACAGCTTGAAGTGTAATCTATTGAATTATTTCAGAGTAGAAAGATCAAGTGCCAATATTTCGCCATTCATACCTTAATGTTAAAATTAAACCTAACTTTTTCTTAACTGCTATGCCTGAAAATATCTCATGTGCTAGCATGAGTGGCCTGTTAAGATTCAAGTGATATTGATGAATCTTGGAAAACATGTTTCTCCTACCTCACCCTCCAACCTTGAATATGTGTAAAGAGAACCAAATTTCATGTGTCTTTTCCCTCTAAATGTCACCTATAGAGTGATCAGTGAAGGTGTTTAGTTCTAGCAGTTTTCAGTGTTGGAGCCAAGAAATGGGAACTATTTTGTTTTAAGTTATATGTAGTATTAAAGGGCAAACCTTCTAAACTCAAGAATAAGAGAATACCTGTACTTGGGGTTGCTCAAAACTTAATATAATAAGGTGCTGGGAAATATGAACCAACTTTTAGATTAGCTGTGCTTTGAAAAAGGGTTTGATTATATAATTTTCAGAAATCTTTACAAAATTGCATAGAAGGCAAAAAACCCCACCCTAGTGATCTCAGGAATAAATGCCCTTCCCTGTCAACATACTGTTAGTGCCCTCTTGCTTTCCTTAAAGCTTTGCCACTTAGTAGAATTTGATTTTAACATCATCTTGCTTTGAGAAGCTTCTGCTTGCTGCAAGTTTGTGCTACTTTTGAGTTCTGGTTTTGATCTTTTAAAATGCAGCTAGCTCTTGTGCAAGAGTATCAGGCAAGTACTTGAGTTAAAGTTAAAGGAAGAAAGTTTTTTTGATAAACACGTTTAATTTGAATCATCATCAGATTTTCGAACAAAAGCAGTTACGATTAGCAATTCAACAGATTAGTACTATTTCATAAAATGGGCTTTCCCAGGTCTTACTGTTGTTTTTACTATTCTGGTACGCAGCTATGAGTAAATTAACAAGCACTGATGAGAATTGCAACCTTACTAAAATGTCAAAAGGTACTATTTTGGGGAGATTGTAATGGACTTGATTTTCAGCTGAGTACTTATGAGTACTTTTAAGCAATCATGTTTTACAAATAAACCCTTTGAAATCTGCAAGTGAAAAAATATTAAACCTCAAATTTCTTTTCCCTCTTGAAAATATTTTATTAGGATTATATTATGGATTCTCCACCAGATGCACCAGATAATACATCTGGTATACTGTTTGGTGTGAGACAGAACTCGGGAGTTCCACAGTACCAGACTGAGCCAACAGTGAATGTAACAGGTGGGTATGACTGTAGTAGTTGATAAGAGAAAGAAACTAATGTCGTTTAACTGTAGTGCAGATCTTCGGGTTATCACTTTAAATAGGATTTCTAGAACATAGTATAGCTGCTTTTTTCTTCCCCCTGTGCATTACACTGTATAATGTTTAATGAAATAAATTTTGGAGCCTTGTGTTGTCAGGCTTTGTTTTTCAGTGCATTAGGCTGACTGTAGTAGCAACTGATGTCATCTTATAATGCTCATTTAGATGGGAAAAATCACTGCCAGATCTACTGTAATGTTATTGACAGGTAGAGGTTTGATTTCAATGTATTTATCACTCTTTGGTTAGTGTGAATAGGAATGACTGTTAGTGAGAGAGAGGCTGTGATCAGTACCTGAAGAACTGAGTCTGCTGGGTTGATTCCCTGTGGTTGATGATCTTGGTTTCTTGACTGCTATATGCAGGGGTTGGAGTAGGTGGTATCAAAAGGATCCTTCCTAAAAAGGAGGGATAGAGAAAGAGTATGTAGTTGGACAACTAAAATTTACTTAGCCTATGTGTCTTTCTGTAAAATGGCAATAGGATTTAGAAGTTAAAATAAAAGTTTAATAATTGTGGATTGAAACATGAATATTTTTATGACACAGAAGGCAAATTCAAGATACATTTCACTTTGCAAGAAGGAAGTGGATTCTGTGGTTTGGCTTGCGTGGTGAGGTCATGTCATGTGCTTACATTCATGTTCATACGTGCCAAAGCCTATTTGCCTGTGTTGGTGCTGTGCTGCCCTAGTTCATGTGCAGCACTGGGCACAAGACATTCTGGTATACAGTATTCAAAAGCAGAATCCTTTTGGGAGCTGGCCTGTGATACTCTGCAGGACAATTTAACTTATGGACATGGATCAGTAAAGACATTTTTTCAGCTTAAAATAGCATTAATATTTGTGAGGCAGGGAAATTACAGGTTGCTAATAGACACTAACCAAAAATTCTGTTAGGCTGCTAAATAGGTGGTGGTGGTAGGGTAAACAGCCTTGATAACTCCTGTCTGCAGGTTGGATTGCACTGTGTGTATGTGAAACTGTAGCTTGCTGTCTGAGAGTATTTTGAGAATGTTCTCCCACCAGTTTTACCCACTTGGAGGAACCAGAAAGTGCCATAACCAATAAAAACTGTTTGGAGTTGGCTGGAGTGTATACATGACTTCATAGCAGCAGATTAATGGGAGCTGTTGGTGCAGGACAATGGACTGGCAGCCTGAAACAGGTTTTCTACAGTAAAATAAAAAACTTAACTGAAGGTTCTTGTGAAATCAGTCAGACCTTCTGTCTGTTCCGTGACCCTCATTGCACAGCTACACATAATTAAACACACAGCAGCAGTTCCTGCTGTAGCTTGATCAATGGGTGCTTGAATAGCATCAGTGGTCCAGAAGAATGCCAAAGTCATAGCAGCTCTATGGAAGCTTTTGCTGAGCAAGACACACGTCAGTGTAAGCAGCTCATATACCTAACAGTGCAAGTGTAAGTAAATTAAAAAACCCTCGGAAGTAGTAATACCTAATGAATAACCTGTTCATTGTGTGATGAATGAACCTTAGGCAAACAATGCATAGAGTGAGACATTTGAGCTTCACATGGTCGTTTATGTCAGAAAGAAGGAAGGGTGTGCTGCAAAGGAGGATGTTTAAGTATGTATATAACAAATAAATTATGTTTTCCTTTGTATGAGGCACAGTGTAGCAAATTGTCAAGATGCTCATCAGCATTCCCTGCTGGGAGTCTGTGCCTGTGCATGGAATGGGGTGACTCTCCAGACTGTTTGCTAGGTTTAGATAGTTCCCAGTGAGTAAACACAGCTATGGATGGGAAAAGGCAGTTCTGTTTCTTCTCAGAAGTTTGAATAATTTCTGTGACACAAAGTATCTCTGCTTGTGGAGAAGACTTTAAAGGCACTGATTCAGTTTCTTACTATATTGATGCACCCAAAGCAATCACTGGGAGAGCTCTGCCATTGGGAGACAAGAATGTCCTTAACTCAGGTCATTGTGTCTGGAACTGAAGTCCAGTCCTTGTCGTAGTTTACAATAGCAGTAAGACTATTTGCAGTCTGTGGTTGTGAGAGGTTTACAAGACCTGGGCTGGCAATTCAGGCTTCTTGGTATGTAGCTGTAGTCTTTCAGGTCTACTTGAGGACTGGTCTTTGTATTGAGATTTTATTGTCAAGGATAATCTTACAGTGACAGAGACATGGGTTTCTGACAAGATGGAGTCGAGTATTGATGGGCCTGTTAATCAGCCACTGAACCTCGAATTGCTAAGTCATTTATTTAGTGATTGTCTTTTCTTCGGAAGAAGTACTGCAGACAATAAGGGCATCAACTGTTCTTTCAGAGGAGAGCAAATCTTGTGTGCTATGCTTGGTCATGAGAATTTACAACACTGTTTTCATTTTGCATACAAACTGAAGTTTACAGAGTTAAATATCAAACTAAACTAGCATTAACATAGAACCACAAAAAAAGGAGAGATATTTTTCATCAGAAGGGCAGGGCTTGTTCCAAATAGTGGGCATTGCAGAAACCAACTGCTTAGCTTAGCTTTATTACTGTGAACTCACCTTGTCTCAGATGAGAATGGGTCAAGATGTGAAAAGTAGGCCAAATAAATTCAGGTGGTTATGGTGTGATTTACCGGGTTTCAGGGATGAGTCTCTATCTCATTGCATTTGCCCTTTCCTGCTTCACTGGCCTTGGAGTATTCAGTCTGAGTTGAATATTGTTTTCATAGTTTCTGTATGTGCAATCTCCACCCTTGGAAATATTTGGAAGTTGATTGGACATAGCTCTGAGCATTCTGATAAAGTTGGATTTGCTTTCAGTGGGAGGTTGTACAAAATCACCTCGAAAGGCCCAACCTAATTTGTTTTGTGATTCAGTACTTTGATTACCAAGTGTGTTTTGCAGTTTTCCACTTTGTTTTGCAGCAGTGTTTCTGATGCAGTTTAAAATGATACTGAGAGGGGAGAAGGAAGATTTCAAAGAGAGGATGTTCTTTGGAAGGTCTTTACCTCCCTGCCAGAAGAGAGGTAGTTTAGCTGTTTCAGAGTATTAATAATTAGGTGCATTCTCCTCTTGACCTGGAAGGTCCTTTCAGTGATTATAATAGGCAAGGATTTATTCTCGGAGATATTTCCAAGCAAATTTCCAATGGAGTTTCCTACAGTGTGATTCTGGTTGGGTTTTTTGTGTGTCTTGTTTGGAGCTGGTTTGCTGTCAGACTCTTTCTCAGCAACCAGAAGCAAGTGGCTCTAACATGAATATTGCAGCAAAAAAATTTCCTCCACCCCATTTGGGGTGAAATAGATATTGTACTGCAGCCCATAATATACAGAAGATAACTGAAGGATCTTGCTAAATGCAGTAACAAAGAAGTAGATCATATTCACTGAGAACCTTATTTTGCTGAGTTTGGCTCTAAATTGTCCCATGCTAGTGTAGCAATTTCTAATCTGTCACAGAATCCAACACTGAAGCACTATAAAATTCGAGCTCTTGCTGCAGAACCTGTTTTCTCCAACTCAGTTTGCACTTTAGCTGTGACCTGTCAAAATGTGTTACAAACTGTACTAGTGCAGCACTGTGTTGTGGTACATCTTTTGCATGGCCATCCCCTCACTGAAGGACTTGATGCTTAATAATGGTTCTTAGCAATACTGTTCTTAAGGGCAAGTATTATTCACCTCATGGACTATGCAAGACTGTGTAAAAATGGATAACAGTGTTGCATGGTCATCTCTTAACTCATACACTTACTCATTCCCTTGTCACAAGGTTGATGTATTTGTGTGTTTATTTTTATTACTTTTTTTTTCATAGCCCTGGTGGGGAACAGTTGACTATATTGTTGTGATATTACTTAAAACTTCTCCTGTGTTTAACCTCCTCTTCTAAGGCAGTAACTCAGATGGACTCTTCAGATCTGTGAATGACTTGAGAATGCAAGAGAACTTCAGAAAAGTAGTTCTCACTCTGATGTTCTTTGACAGTTTGGAGAAAACTTGAAGCTTGGGTTTATTCACTAAAGTTTAAGCTAATGCAAAGCTTTAATACCTCTCTTTTGCCCAAAAGGTGTTAGTCATCTTGATAAGAGAAACACTATTTCCTTTCATTACTGGGAGTTTTTATTTAGAGGATTTACTCTCCAGGTTCTCCAAAGACACCTTTGCTTAACAGGAATGATGCATTTGAGTAGGCCTAGGTTCCAACAACTCTCCAGAGAGAAATAGTCTCATCACTGAGAACCAAATGGTGAAATTCCTTTCCAAAAACCAGTTATCTGAACCCTATTGTGATGATGATCGGGTCATGGTATAAAACAAGCTTTAAAACATGTTCATTTGAAAGCTAAAGTTCTTAAAACCGTCGAGACTCTGTGCTGCACAGGGTGTGGTGGGGTGGTGGTGCACAGAACGAATGCTTTGTCTCTTTCATGCTGCCTTCATCTCCTCCCTTTTTTTTCCTTGTTTGTTGCTAAGATTTTGTACAAGTTGTTAGTCTGTATTCAAACAGAACAAACTCAAAGTTAGTTTGGGGAAAAGGAGGGGTAGTTGAAAGAGGGCTGTAAAACTTTGCTTATGGTTGCTACAGCTACATAAATAGTAATAGTTTTGATTTGAAATACCATATTTTGCTAGAAGAATAGTAATAAATTGATTATTCTGCTTATGAATTCTGAATCTTGACATGTTTTGAATTTACAGGGACAAATGCTGCATCAAGCACCATTAAAAATGGAGGACCTTTTCCACGAGCTTGTCCAAAGTGTAATATTCACTTCAATCTTATGGATCCTCTAAAAAATCATATGAAGGTAAAATATTTTGGGGCTGGTAAACATTAGAACAACTTTTGTAGGTTGCTGTTTGGTTATGAAAGAGAGCTGTGTTTTGGTATGAAGATAGTTTGCTTGCTGTGATCAGCCAGAGCCAAATGCTCCATGTCTTGCAGTCATGGAGAGGAAGACTGGAGTCTGCCTATATGGTAGCTTCTGTTCTTTTCGGCTTTGAAACACAACAGAGAACAGTGGAAAGAGACCAAGGGTTTTATCTTTTTCTAATCATTATTTGTGCAGAATAGCTTTGCACTGAGTCAATCAACTGAATCAAAGAACCATTGAAGTTGTGAATATTATTTAGGTAAGTTTTCAGTTGAACTGTATGGGATTACTATACTGCATTAGACTTCCACAGTAGCAAAGGAACTCCTTATTAGTACACTTACAGAAAGTAGTCTTGCACAATAAAAACCATTATTCAGACGAGAAAAATCTTTGAAACATTTTGTTCACTATTGGAAACTTCATAGCATCTTCTGTACAAAGTACTTCATACTTTCTAAGTGTTAAGTTTCATGGTATGACTGTTGGGTTAAATATTTATTATGTGTACTTTGGCATAAAGAAGCTTGAACAGTGTGTATTGTGCAACTTAGGATTTCTGAATGTTCTGGTAATGCTGGAAAGAACTTTTCAGGTTCTCTCCTGTTCACTATTGGAAACTTCATAGCATCTTCTGTACAAAGTACTTCATACTTTCTAAGTGTTAAGTTTCATGGTATGACTGTTGGGTTAAATATTTATTATGTGTACTTTGGCATAAAGAAGCTTGAACAGTGTGTATTGTGCAACTTAGGATTTCTGAATGTTCTGGTAATGCTGGAAAGAACTTTTCAGGTTCTCTCCTAAGAAATAGAAGATCAGACTTTCCATTAAGTTCTCAATAAGCTTAAGCTTGTCAGCAAAACAGTTGCATGAGAACTGCTCTTCTCTTTCTCATTATTAAATTTAAATGAAGTAGAAATTTGTTTCATGTGTAAGGCAACACTAATCTGATTTCTTGATGAAATTTATCTTGTGTGAACCTATGAGAATGATCCTTTCTCAGTTTCTATAGTATATAGTGTTCTGTCTTTTAAACACTACCTAAAGATCAGTGCCTGTTCACAATCCATATGTGAATATGGCTAAGATCTGTGTGTCAGAGAGTTGAGCTCTGCATCTAACTCTAGTCAGTGAATGCCTTCAGGTTTTAAAATGCTCTTGTCATTGATGCAGTTTGGTAAGAGAGACTGACACCTTTGTCTCTCTGTCTCTCCTCCCTGTTTGCTTCCAGTATTGTTGTCCAGATATGATAAATACCTTTTTCCCAGGAGTGACCCAAATGGACTGTTTGAGCACAAGTAAGGCTATCGAATCTGAAAAGGGAAAATTGATTATGTTAGTGAATGACTTTTACTATGGGAAGCATGAAGGTGACACCCAGCAGGTACAGCAGGAGCAGAAGACTCATACGACGTTCAAGTGCTTCAGTTGTCTCAAAGTTCTTAAAAATAACATAAGGTATTTGAACTCACTTCCTTAATTGTTTGTTAATTGCTTAGAACCCATAAAAATCTCATGTATTAAAAATTTGTCTCTCTGGAATAGAGTTTTTTCCTTATTGAAAACCAATAATATTGGATGACTGAAGAGAAATTGAATTAATTTTAACTGTGCAAGTACAGCCATTACTTGAATCTTTTTACAAGATTATAGTACAAATTTTAGTAGTATCTAACATAAACATAGAGTTTTAATGAGAGCAGTTGTAGGACTTTGGGGTTAGAAAGGGCAGCACAAAGTATTTTACAATTTGCCATCTGGATTGATAGTGATATTGGTGGATGTGAGTGTTAATTCCCTTTAGGGATGCACAATGAGTAATAGTTGGTGGTTTACTTATGTAACAGCTGTTATATTGATGGAATAATTTTACTTCCAAATGCTGCAAAAAAAACTTGGGTAAGCTGTTTTAGTAGGTAGACAAGTTTGTGTCATTGTTCCTTTGGAAGCTAAGGTCATTGAACTTTTTTACATGCATTCTTCAAGGGAAGCTGAAGTAGCAGAATGTAAAGCTGAAAAATGGACTATTGCTTCAAAGGGCACAGTCTGCAAGTGAAAGTGAACAGGTTTATGCTAACATTAGACCCATATTACTGAAGAAAACAAGTTTTGTGTAATTAAAAACTGTGAAAATGGTGATTAATCGTTAAGTAGGCACTATTTGCTACTCAGCATTATATTGTAAGCTGTTGGTGCTATGGTGCCTATGTGTTCCACAGCAAGTCAGGATAAATGTATGAGCTTTTTTTTTAATTTTTCTAGAACTGACTTTAGCTATATTAATTTTTGCTGTAGCTTTGTAGCTGTATTCCATAGTTCTGTAACTTCAGAATTTTTATTTCAAGGTGTATTTTGCACTTTTAACTATTTATGGTAAGCCAAATAACCACTTAGTACCTTTCTACTTTTAGTGTAGGTTTTTTGGGCATTAATTCAGAAAAGCACAAAGTCATTCATTCTGGTAATCTCCTGCCTCCTTTAAAAGATCTGTGGTTGAACACACCATTGCAATAATTTTCTGTTGAGGTAGTATGCAGTAATAGTGTCAGCTCCTTTTGTCTGTTTGGGTACCTGGATAGTTTCAGTTAGCACTTTTTTTTTTTTTTTCCTTTTAAGCAACTGTATAATACTAGAAGCTTGAGCTCAAGAGACTCTTCTCCTTGCTCATTTGTTTTCTCCAGTTCTAGGGTCTGTACTGAAATGAAGCACATGCAAAATGGGAGAGTTCAGAAGTTTAGCAGTAGTGAGTTGTACAGCTAACCTGTCCTTGTGCTGCAGATCACCAGGAACAGTGATCTGCTGACATTGTCATGGGTGCCTAGACTTCCCAGCCAGAATAGGTTCCTACTGCAGGCAGGTGGACAGATGAATGAGGAAAAGGTGGTAACTTGAGGTAGTAACATACTCTTTTGCCACCAGCTGCACGGTGCCATTCTTTGGTAGCTTTCCTTCATAATTCAAATTCAGCCCTAAATGCCTTAGACAAAGAAGGCTCCTGGAACCCTGCCAGTTTTGAGTGGATGTGGTTTCACATAAAGCTATCATGTCCATATTGCAGATATGTTCTTGCTACTGAATAGTTTTCAGCAGAGCTAAAGTTATACTTGTTTCAGAATGTGACTTTGAGGCTGGTGGTGGTGAAGTGTGACCAGCTGACATATTGTGTTAATTTTGTCTTTGCTTATTTCCCTTTATTTTGAGGCAAGAATTTTAGATTTCTTAGTCTTAGAATGTTTCAGGTATGTCATGTGTTCCTTATGGTCAACATGCCTAGTTAGCTTCCTTAAGTTTGTTGCTTTCTTTTAATGAACACTTAGTCTTTATTTTTGAACTTGAGAAGTCATTACAGAGTAAAGTTTCTAAAGAATCCTGTGCATCTCGCATGTGATACGTTGTGCATAGCAAATGTTAAAATGTATGTTTTTGCACCTGTTTGCTATAATTTAAAGGTTTATGAACCACATGAAACATCACTTGGAGCTTGAGAAGCAGAGCAATGAAAGCTGGGAGAGCCACACCACCTGCCAGCACTGTTACCGTCAGTTTCCCACCCCGTTCCAGCTGCAGTGCCACATTGAGAGCACGCACACGCCTTACGAGTCTTCTAGTGAGTTGGGTTGGATCATATGGGATTTTTTCTAAGGCAAAATTTTTAGAGATTTTATGACTTTTACTTCACTGGTTTGTAAGTTCAGAATAAATCTGTTATACTTAAAGAACAATAATCTTGAGATTTAATATAGGACTTGAGCACTCAGTTTTTTAGACCAATGTGTGTGCAAAAAAATTTATTGTAAAAAGCTTTTTGGTTTGTTACCTTTTTTGTTATTTATTTATTTGAAAGCTGGACTGCAAGAATGTGTGTTGTGTAAGACACTTGCCCTTGTGGCTTCCTGGAATTGTACAGGGGATTTCTTCTGTAGAGTGGCATAACCATTAGCTTAATTTAGCTGTAGAGATTTATACAGTTCACATATCCATATGTATATTATCATTTATCTACTTGTGACCCCAGTATAATTTTTACATTTCTCTTGTTTCTTTTTCTAGCGATTTGTAAGATCTGTGAATTATCCTTTGAGACAGAACATGCTCTTCTGCAGCACATGAAGGACAATCATAAGCCAGGTGAAATGCCGTATGTTTGCCAGGTATCTCAGTGACTGTTTTGTATTTAGATTACACCACTCCCCTGTCTTCACTGGCAATAAATTTGTAACAGAAAAGTCAAACTCTTTGTTTTAGGTGTGCAACTACAGATCCTCAGCTTTTTCAGATGTAGAATCACATTTTAGAACAGTTCATGAAAACACAAAACATCTGCTTTGCCCATTTTGCCTCAAAGTAATTAAAATTGGAGCACCATATATGCATCATTACATGAGGCATCAGGTAAGCAGATATTTTCCATCCTTAATGCTAGAAAAATGCTAAATATATGCAAGGAATCTCTCCCTCCCATACAGTGATTTGTGATTGTTACTGGATAAGAATGGTTAATAAAATACATGAGAAGAATCTGAAAAGTCTACAAGGGGATTGTTAGACTTTGTCATGTTTTTGTGTGACAGCTGCTTCTTTTTAAAATAACCTCTGAATATCCTTGAGAGAATCTCTGCTGTTTGGGTTCTTCATTACATTGTAGTGATGTGTTCTGCTTTCCTTGAGATTACTAGCAAACCTGTCACTAGTTCAAATGAAGAAAAATATTATGAAATACTCTGTCTTCATGTAACTGGTCATCTGATTCCTCCTCCTCTTAGTAAATCATACTGCCTTGTGTTTTCTAGTATTTAAATGCTCTGATTCCTACACAGTATCTTGTCTTTGTACAATATTAGGAGTTTGATCAGTTGGTGTTTTAGAAACTGGATGACCATTGCTTGAGACAGGCCAGGGCTAGAGTTTTGTTCATCATGCCATCCATGCTCACTGTGGCTTTTTTCTTTAAAGAGGAAAGGAATATACCGTTGCACCAAATGCCGACTGCAGTTCTTAACATGCAAAGAAAAAATGGAGCACAAGACTCAGCATCACCGAACGTTTAGGAAACCTAAACAGTTAGAGGGATTGCCTCCTGGAACAAAGGTCAGTGTTCATACAGGAAAATTTGAGGGGACAAAGGAAAAAAATGTCTTGGTGAAGAAAAGGATGGAATAGGAAGAAGTGATGTTCTCCTTCCTTTAAGTGATATTCTCCTTTCTTTAAGTGATGTTCTCCTTTCTTTAACAAAGCAAAGTGTTTAGGGTTGGTTTTTGGTTTTATTTCTGTTTTCTCTCCCCTAAAACTAAAACTTTAGAAAGTACTCCTATTGCAAGAATTACTAGGCACAGTTTATGGCTTCTCCCTGATGATTTGTGGTGTTGCTTTCTGTCCCATTGTTCCATGAATGTATATGCCAGTAGTCCAGTCAGAGCTGCTGCTTTCTTGAGCTGTTGGTTAATTTTCCTCCTCCCATTTATCCCTTCCTGTGCTAGGAGGTGTTTCTGCATTATTTCTTGTGAAAAATGTTCGGCTCGTGGAAGGTGGTGGCAAAAAAACAATATAAAATGCAAGACCTACTTCTCCGTAGACAATACATGCTTAAAACAGAGTTCACCAGGTCTTCTTTAGCTTGAACCTTTTTTGGTGGGGAGTGAGGGGGGTGGCAAACTTCAGTCCCCTCAACTCTTAGGCTGTCTTTAAATCCTTCTTTGATTTGTCAAGAAGGAACTCCTTAGACTAGTATCTTCTTGGAGATTTCAGGACTTTTTCCTACAGTTCTATAATGAAGCATTAAAATATATATGTCCTTTCAGTTGAAAGGAAGAACAAAATTAACATTTTGATCAGATCTTCATGGTTCATTTGCTATAGAGTCAGGAAGGGAAAATGACTGCAGTTGATGTTGATTGTTTTGCTTGGCAGAATGAATGTAAGCCACTGATTCTTTGCTCAGTGGCAATACCTCAGTTTTCTAAAGGTTTCAGAGTCTTTGTTATCTAATAAAAGCTGAGATTATATTCAAATTTTGGTGTCAATAGATCTTGTCAGGATGTAGATTATGAGACTGAAGAGCCTGGAACCAGGTTTAGAAAATGAGGTGCTTCCAAACTATGAATATGGGCAAGAAGTACAATTAGGAGGCATGTTGTGAGTGAAAACTCAGGAAACAAATTTGAGGGCAAAACAAGGGAGTTCAATAATGCTACACGAGAGGTCAGAAACTAGAATTAGTCCTTGGGGTTCTAGGATGAGGAACGAAACTATCTGAGCAAGCAGATTGACTAATCATGAGGCAGCAAGACACAGGACTTCTGTTGAATCCAGGCACTGATGGGATTGCTTGATGTTCTTGGCAGGGCTAATTGACCTGACCCTTCTGCTACTCTTGTTTTAAGAAAACAGGATGTAGCCTGTTGCAGATGAGAAAAGAACAGTGTGTTTTGTCATGGGTAGCTATGTCCACCCAAATGAGCTTTTTAAGCATCCATTAGGCCATTGAGGTTAACTCTAGTCCAACAGTATTTTCAGTATTTTCTATTTTTCCAAGTTATCTTTACCTGGGAGAGTTTCTTATGCTATGATATTTGTTCTCAAGTGGCTTAAAAGTTGAGACAAATAGAAATTGGAACTTAGCTTAAATCTAAATAGAAAATTTTGTTCTTTCACACTCGTAGGTGACTATTCGAGCATCTCTCGGATCTCTTCAGTCAGGATCATCAGCTACATCTTCCATTAGTACAAGCATGTCCACTTTTCAGTTATCACCTAAAGCTAAAAGTACAACCACTAGAAATCATAACAGATCTAATACAAATAAGTCAAGAGCAAGGTCAAAACCTGCTACATCAAAGAAGCAAAATGCATGGACCAACAGCAGGAGAAAAAAACAATCTACAAATCCAACATTTCATAATCTAAGGTAAAATATTAACATTAAAATTATCTTTAACTTTGAGTATAAATAATCATTTAATCACCTTTTGGTAGCTTCTAATACTGTAATACAGAAGATCCAACACCTCAGATTTGCAGAAAAAGCAGGTGCATAAACTCCATGTACTGGTACTGTGATTGTAGTTCTGAATCTTCATTCACCAATTTTGGTGGTGGCAGACTGCTTTATCACAGAACAGCAGAAGTTCTGGAAACTCCTGTGCTACACTCAGAATTTTTTTCTGCACAGAGCTACAGACCCTTGAAATTCTGACTCATTAAAAGTGACCTATGGTGGGGAATACATCTGCCTGCGTGTTCTCTGGAAGTTTGCCTATGGAGGGAAAAATATTTCATCAATTATTTTTTTTACTTTTATTTGAACCCGTTAATTAGAAGATTCAATCTTGTCTGACCTAGGAGACACCTTATTTTGGGGAGCTAACAAAAATAAAGTAAAAGCAAGCTATTGTGAGAATGTTGTCCTTATATTTACAGTTTATTGGGGTTATCTATCCTTACATTAATAATTTAATGGGTGGTTTATGGATTAGAATATGCTTTCATTGACTGAGATGAGTTAGCAGATCTTTGTCCAAAATGGTAGATGTTCCTTCCAGCAAGTTGCCAAGTTTCACAGTGTGCAGCTCTAAAAGACATGCACAATTGGGTAAGAGCAGTATTACATTCTTGCTTTGTAGATATTTCAAAGCTTGTGGGGAGTATTAGGGTGACCGATACACCAAAGGCTTTTTCTGTGCATTGTGGTGGATGGAAACAATTCTTAAAACAACTTCTCAAGTGCATAGAGACAACAGCAACAGCAGCTGAAGTTGGAGGTTCTCACCTACTGCATTATCTTGTTTCCAGAAGTGGCCAAGAATGGGTGCTTAGATCATTATTAGGGTTATAATGATGTTATAGTTCAATTAAAAGCAAAGTTTTATTCATCTGTCCTAGTGTAATGTATAAGTATTTAGCTGATAAATTTTTAAGTTCTTCCTTTTTTCCCCAATGCACCCAGACTTGCTACTGACTTCAAGCAAAAAGATGGAAATCTTCAGGTGTGCTATTAACTGTCAACTTTTTCACATTACTTTTAGGTGTCATTTGGGATCTCACAAATGCATTGAGTGTTACTCAGAAATAAAAGATTTTGCAAGCCATTTTCCTGCCTATGTGCACTGTAGTTTATGCAGATACAACACTAGCTGTAGCAAAGCCTATGTAAATCACATGATGAGGTAAGAACCCTTCAAAATTTTTACTGGCTTAGCAAATGCTTCCTAAATTCATGTAAGGTGTGTTAAGTGTTTGTTAGCTGCATTTCATACTGGGTCATCAGACTGGTAGGGAAATGGGTAAGGTTGGATTTTTCACTTTGTAGTGAAGGCTTAAACCCCATGTTCTTGTTTCACCCTAAAAATCCAGTGCTTCAGGCAGTGTCATCGCTTCAGAGTTTCTGTGGGATCTTCCATAATCACTTCAGCCTGACGTAGCGAGTAATGACTAACTGTTGCATGTTCTCCAGGTTTCAGATTGAATGGCTTGTCTGATTTTACAAGTGCTGAGTACATACAGGCAACAGCTCTTGCTAGTAAAATCTGGGCTCAGATGTAAAGGGTGTCTTCAACAGGATACAGAAGTGCATATGTTTCCTTATACTACTTCTGGTCATCCGTAAAAATAACATCTCATTTTGCAGGAGGTTTGTCACTGACTGGGAGGCAGCATAGGGTATTAGTGGTGACAGCTGTAAAAAAGCCTGTTAGGAAAACAAATGCCTTAGTTTTCAGAGCCATAGAATGATAGTATGCAGTGGTTAGACACAGATCATGTAGCAGTGACAGGAAAACAAAATTTTGAAAATCTAATTGATAATCCTGTGCCCTGAACAAGCCAAGTGTATTGTGGAAAAATACTGAATGCAGTTGTCTTTTTAAATACATGTAAAATGATTTGGCATTTGTGAATGCTAGAGTTCTTCAATCCGTGACCAAAGTTTTTAGAAAATTTTAGATATATTTTATATATTGACTGTTTATATATTCATACTGATTTCAACACTCATGTAACTCCTAAGCTGAAATAGTTTACTTGCTTTTATGCATATAATCTATTCGTTGCATGCTTAAAAAACTAATGAAAACGAATGTGCTTGATTCCAATTGTACAAGAAAATGTTTACTCTGGAAGGGGAAAGAGGAAGAGGGAAAAGGTAAATTGTTCCTGTTGTTGCCAGTGTTCTGGGTGTTGGGTTAAATTCAACCATGCAGTAAACCAGTCTGGTTTTTGTCTTTGGTCCCCTTGATGCACTGGTACTTCACTAGTTTGATCCTTTGCAGCACCTATCATCACATTTTTGGTTGGTGTAAGGAAAAAGGGATGGTGAGGAGGAAGGCTGTTGGAGGGTGTTTCTTCAGGAGCAGCCCCTGTACTTAGCTGCTTGCATGTTGTTTCACGTGGGAGTGCAGTGTTGGCATATACTTAACCTGCATAAGAGACAACTTACAGGTTGTCTGAAAACTTTATTTCTCATTTAAAGCCATCTCTCTAGGAAGCACAAGTTCAGCAAAGCTTCACTTCTTTTGTGGTGCACATGGCTACAGCCATGGTTCTTCAAGAGCTAAACTGGGAAGTAATATAAATGTGTTCTTGCAGGTCTCTGCCAATGAAGTTAAACCTTTCCCCTCCAAAACTTATTATTTACAAGAGAGACTATGTTTTAAACTAGAACTGAGGTTCCCAAGCCTGTAGGCTTTAAGCAGTTTAATGTTGAAGAATAATGCAGGTCAGTAATTGAGCCTTCTGTTTTCATGCCTTGTCATGAGCAAATGGCAGTACCATGTATAGGGTAAGGGACGTGTCCCCCCATGTAGGGGACATGTGGAATCATGTGCTCAGAACACCAGTCTAAGTGGTAATGTTTTCATACATTTAGTTTTCACAGTGCTCGTCCAAGTAAAAGATTTTGGATCTATAAGAAGCATTCAGAAGACTTAAGGTAATTCAGATTCTTTTCAGTTACAGATGATTGTGTGTTTACTTTGTGATGTTGACTTGATTAGTTAATGGAGATTATAGCCTCAGGAATGTCTCGGTTTCTACAGTTTAGGAAGAGCAGGGAAATAAAAACCATTAGCTCTTCCACTAGCAGTGTTCCGGTCAGTGACAAGTGTTCATTTGTCTACATTTATTAACTTATTTCTTAACTCTGAGCAGTTTGTGAAAATATTTATATTCCTTTATTTTTCAATTATTCATAATGTGCAGAATGGGGAGGGGGTGAGGGGGAAAAACAACAACTATCCAAACAAAACCCATGGAAACAGAGAAACTCCTGCTTTACAGATAAATTTCTGTCTAAAGTCGTGTTCTTTGTACTACATCCAGCATGGAGATGCCCTGGTCATTGATGGGGATTTCCTGGTACTAGTTGCAGTAGAAAAAGTAAGAATATGTTTTTGTGAATCATCTTGTCTGAAGTTGAATGAATTTTCTTTTCTTTTTTTTATAGTCTGTGCAGTTATTGTAAGTTAAGACAACTCTTTCCACATCCATGTTGTATTTATAGTTCATTTTATTTTTTATTTTCCAGAGGTGTGACTGTAGTGTGTCTTAACTGTGATTTCCTGGCTGATGTTTCTGGCTTGGATAGCATGGCCACACACCTGAGTGAGAGCCACACTCATACTTGTCAAGTTATTATAGAGAAAGGTGAGTACACAGAGTGTCTTTGTTACATAGAATCATAGAATCAACTGGGTTGGGAAAGACCTCCAAGATCATCCCTACTGTTGTTACCAGCCCATGGCACTAAGTGCCACATCCAGTCTCAGATTGAAAACCTCCAGGGATGGTGAATCCACCACCTCCCTGGGCAGCACATTCCAATGCCTGAGCACTCTCTCTGTAAAAAATCTCTTCCTAATATCCAACCTAACCCTCCCCTGGCAGAGCTTGAGTCTGTGCCCTCTTGTCCTGTGCTGGTTGCCTGGGAGAAGAGACCAACCCCCACCTGACTCCAACCTCCTGTCAGGGAGTTGCAGAGGGTGAGAAGGTCTTCCCTGAGCCTCCTCTTCTCCAGGCTGAACACCCCCAGCTCCCTCAGCCTCTCCTCATATAATGTATCAGCACTTCCATGTGGATGCCTCTGTGTTATGGCAGTCCTGTTTTCAGTTGCATTAGCATTATTTCTGTGTGCTTGGGTTTGACACTGAGTACTTCTGTATTTCCACATCTAAAAACATTTTTAATTAAATCCTTTGTTTTTATTTTCAGTTTCTGTAGATATCCCAACTGCTGCGCAAGTATCTGAGTAAGTTTTCTTTTACTGCTTAATGTTTTTTGCTATTAATTTAGGGATTGATGGCCAAAATTTGTACTTCGAACTTGGGTTTCTTCTGAATTTCATAGAATTTAAAACGTATGGATGAACACAGGCCCTTACTTTACTAGTGCATTTTGCTCTTACTATATCCACAATTACAGGAATGAAGTGATAAAGTGATTAGTTATTGCACAAAAACCAAAAGCAGGGTTTTGTTCATTTTGGAGAGACATAATTCTTGCAGTGTTGGAACTTTTCAGTCCTGACCTCCACGTCTAGACACAGTGAGACTGTTACTTCAACTTGCTTTACTCTTAGCTATATTAAATGAGTGGTTTATATTTTTTGTGTAATATTAATATTTATCAAAAAGACTTAATATTTTATAAATATGTAGACATTATTTCCAAATTATGCAATTTCTATGACAAAGGGATACTGTTTTGTAGTCACTTTTTCATTGTGACTTTCAAAGAAAAATTAGTATTAATTAGGTTCTTTTAAGGATTTGAAAAAGAACCTGCAGTACTGTGGAGATTGTGTTGCACGGTTTGTTTGGGACTCTTTTAACCTTAGAAGAATCAGACATGCTAAGCCATCCCTGAGTATCCTGGAACAGTTTCTGGGCTTTCCAATGTAGTCTGTGAGTCTGCTTGTCCTTTAATTGAAGGTTCAGAGGTATGTCAGCTAAACATTTGCATTCTCTTCATACCACTTCAGAACACAGAAACAAAAATGTTGATTAGACTCCAAAGAAAGATAAATATTTTAAAAGATGGAAGGAAATTGTTTAACCCTGATTGAGTCCATCTAGCCTGTAGGAGGATTCTAAAAGGGGTTTAGATGGTCTCATGTGTGGTGAGAACTCTTCTAACAGAGTCAGAAGTTCCTAGGCTTCCAAGCATAAATCAGCTTTCACTGAGCATTGGAAATATCCCAAATAGATTGCTTCATAACTGCTAAGTATTTTCTTTCTTGGTTTCCATGAAGTGTCTAGTAAGAGGGATCCTTTAACAGTTTGGCTTTCAGTGAAACTCAAACAATGAAAAAATACAGTGTTTGAATTCTGATACCTGTGCAAACCTTAGCTTTTCTGCTTGGAGCTGGCATTAGGTGTTGAGAATTAATACCTG